TCGTCAACCAAAACCTTCGAGATTAGATGAATGGTTAAGTTAGGATCGTGTGGATACTCGCAGATGTCTATATATGTGTAGGCAGCTGAACGAGCATTTACCAGTACCCCTGTAATGTGGGTTTTTAGCTTTCCAAGACCGTCATCAACCTTACAAGAATAAAATAATTACTGGGGCAATCGTGCTTTTATACATAACAGAAATGAATTTTGGTAACAAAATCTACAAATAATAGAAAATAACACTATTTCACCTTTGTTGTTTGGGAAAAGTGTGGAACTCGCGATTTGTTCTGGTCCATGCCATCGAGCATTATGGACAGATATCTCTCTGGCTGGAGACGCGATTTAACTCCGTGCAAATAGTAATTTCTTCGTTCAGCCCTACAAAATGAAAATTCAAAATCGATATTCACAACGGACTGTTACCAGTTTCAAGGTCAAATCCTGATTAGAATGCACTTACATTTGTCGCATAAGGTGCACTTTGCGCATGTTGGTCATTCTTTTACGTTGTTTCGCAGTTAACCTGGGGTTTCTCAGCTGCTCTTTCAAGTTGACACAAATTATGCATTTCGTAAATCTAGATTGCTGAAAAAAGGAAAAGTAAAAAAGGTGTCAATCAACACATATTTAACTCGAGCAATTAAATCAATCCCGCCATATACCTTTGGGATTATCACATTAGGAAATTCTTTTTTCCACATCTTGCCCACGAAATGCCTTTCACTTATTAGTCGCCTTTCCCCTTTTCTCGCCATGTCCTCCTTGTACATCATGTACACGCTCCTTTTGCTCAAGCAGGAAGGCAARTGCTTTGTGTTTGTTGTGGGCATAATGTCCGACATGAAAGCAAATATCCTAAACCACTCTTTTGCAAGATCATACCCTTCAGAGGGAAGGCGATATCTCTTACCGGTCACTGACGTAATACCTTCACGTATCAATTTTACCRTGTCTTTGTATCTGTTAGAATAAAAGTGAATTATAACACAGTCTTTTGTAGTGTAAATTATATTAATTAGTAGGCTATCTATGTGGGATGACACAGTCAGACGTCCGCCTTTTCTGTTCTCTCAACAACTGCAAAAGGTACAAACATGAAAGGAGGGACAAAACGCATTTTCAGCTTTTAAAGCGGATTTCAGTTGTTTATTCAAAGGGAATTAGTTACATTCAACCTTAATCTCATGACAATGTTAATTTCCGAATTGAGAGAATTATTGAGTTTTTTACACTACCTTGTGTCTTTAATGCCATATACAGTGCACCACGCCTTTTTACAAAGCTTTTGTGTACAATTTGCAATATTAAAAAATCTGCGACCATCGTTGGATATTGAGGCATTGCGTATTGCCCATATCATGAAATTTCTTTGTTCGGCTAAGGATTTACCAACCCAAAATCCTTCTCTTTCACCAACTGCTGTTTCCAAAGGCAGATATTGAAGACAGTTGTTCTTGCAACATTTAGTTGTGCTTAGATCGTTTTGGATCTCTGACACTTGCACAAGTAATAATCTCTTTTTGCAAGTATGCGGTGCTAAAAGTTGTGGTTAAAGCAGACTGTCAGAAATCCACTATTAGATAATGAATTTAAGGCTGTGATAAATCTGAAACTACCTTTCCTCTCTTTTTGACATTCGTTTTCGGTACTGCGATGATTTTCAAACTCTCCACTTGGTGTAAAAAAATCCTGCTAGCACATAAATAATTTTAACATACAGGACACCTCATAAAATAATGTTTTTATAAGATAGATACCTTCAAATACTTACTACTGTTAATCCTCACCAACTCCTTAAATTGTTTTATTTATTAAAAAAAATACTGTCAAATAAAGTTATAAAACCTGCCAACCTGAGTTACTTCGTTAGTACAGATACGGCTAGTTATTCCTTCAAATTCAAATGGATTCGGATCTTCTGGAAGTGATTCCTGTTGAAAAAACGAAGATGTTATTCGCCAAAGCTACTTAAGAAGCATGTACTTTAA